TTTTTACTGGTTTTGGTTTTTTGTTGTTCTTGTAGTTATGGTGTTTGTCTCTTTTTTCTTTTCTGTTTTTTCTCTTTCAAATAAAAAAGGAGAAAAAATAAAATAAAAGACAAAAACTAAATATAAAGTATTTAAAAATTAATCTAAAATAACTTCAAAACTGAAACGCCTATGTTCTTAATTTTTGTAAAATACTACATTTAAAGCACTTACTAGTGCATCTCACACGAACACATATATTAGCTGTTATTAATGCTGCTCTGATTAAAGTCTAGATTGTAACATTATGAAGTAGGTTCCAACAGCCTGGATTTAACTTCTTGCAGTATCATCTACTAATTACAGTTTTCTCTTTAAAATAGGTCCCCAGGTTGAATATCTATTATCTGAAGTACTTGAAATCAGTAGAATTTCAGATTTCAGAGTTTTCAGATTGTGAAATATGTGCAGACTTTTACCACTGAAAAGTTCCCTATCCAAAAAGCTCCAAAACCTGAAACTTTTTGAGTATGTCAAGTTTTTATTTTGAGCTAGGCAGGGTGGAGCACAGCTCTACTCTCAGCTACTCCAAAGGCTAAGTCAGGAAGATCCTAAATTCTAGGCCAGGCTGGGCAATTTGGTGAGACTCCTATTCCAAAATAAAAATAAAAAAAAAAATTTGAAAGGGGAATCGCAAAATATGCCAGTGGTTGATCACTTGTGTAGAAAGTACAAAATCCTGAGTTCAAGCCCCAGTACCAAAAGAGAGAAGAGGTGGGGCGGTCAAGCTGTATTTAAAATATACAACTTAGAGGGCTGACATGTGGACTCGATTAGTTCAAATATTATTACAGCAGTGTCTGTCAGTGTTACCTAACAGAAATACAATGCAAGTCACAAAATTAAAATCATTTTTCAGATACTGAAAAATCGTACAAGTTCATTTGTAAGCTACTGGGTATCACTGGGTATTTCATTCTAAGATACCAAGATACAAAGAAGTTATCATCAATTATAAACTGTCTAAAATAAACATTATATAAAATATTCTTAAGTTGAAGCCCACTTTGGTGGAGTCAAAGATACAAAGAAAAAATATGTATATATGCATTATGACACACCCATATAAAACCATTATTCCAGGTCAGGTCTGAGACTACTTAGAATGTAAGGGGCAAGAAGTGGGTGGGATGGAAAGGCATATAAAGCAAACCCTGAGGAATGGGCCACATTCTCTAAGTTCTCTTTATTATAGTCCTGCATCATTACTATTTACATGTGAAGAAATGGGGCTTGCAAAAAGCTGTCCAAGTGGCTTTCTCTAAGTTTTCCTATTACTCTAATCTCCTTTGTTGATTCTGCCACATCTGACCAAACAATGGACTCCAAACCCCTTGAGGTTCTCTCCTCCCACCTTTTCGCTTCAGTCTCCACACTCACAGAGGGTGATCCCATCCACTCCCATCGCTTTAAATACCTCCATGACTTCTGAATTTTTATTTCAAACCCCAGGTGTTTTTCTGAACTCCAGCAAATACATTATGTCTCCAGCTGTTATGGAGACTAAGGCACTTAGATAAACAGTAGGTATCTAAGTAGGTTAAAAATTTTTTGTTGGTGTTGTTTGGTTTTTTTTTTTTTTTTTTGGTCTTTTTCGTTTTTATCGGTACCAGGGGTCGAACTCATGACTGCCTGCTTGCAAGGCAGGCGCTTATGCCGCTGAGCTAAATCCCCAGCCCTAGTAAGTTCAAAATTTAACTGTGTTCCTCCTCTATTTCCCTCTTCCTCTCAGTTAATAACCTCAACACCAAACATGTTTTCGCACTCATCACCAAATACATTTTATGTCCCTGTTTCTGATTCAAGCTGCAGTAAAGCAGGTATTCCTGTTACATTGTCCAAGGGAAAAAGGGGATTAGTTTAGACTGTATGGAAATGACAGATTTCTAGACAGATATCTGGGATAAGGCTGAAATAATAACATGGAGCAAAACTGGACAGACTGAATCAGAATGTCCAAGGCAGATGAAATGAAAATCCACATTCAAAATAAGCTTGCAGAGACACTTGAAAGAACAGAAAGAAGGTCATGGACCAACAGAGCACAGAGCAGGAAGACTAGCACCGAGGAGTAAGCACTGAATGCAGAGGGCCAGGGATTTAGCTCAACAGAGTAAGCTAAGCATGCCTGGTAAGCGCAAGGTCATGAGTTCAATCCCCCACTACCAAAATAAAACGAAACAAAAAACCTCACTGCAGGGGACAGGCACAGTTTCAGAGTCAGAGAAATCCATCAATCCCACACACTCGAAGGCAAGAGTCAAATCCACTAACATAGATAGTCTGTCAAGATTTATTCCAGAAGGCCACAACCAAGCACTTGACGTTCCCTATAGAGTTCTCTTGGTATGTTAGTATTGAGTCAAATTAACTCTGGACAATCTGGATAAAATAGTAACATTTGCACAGTCAAATTAGCCTGACCTAAAGAAAAAGGAAGAGATGAAACCATGAAGCTGATTTTGGGAGCAGTCTGAGTCTTTCTGCAAAGATATATGATCTACAATATCTTCTACTTAAAATGATTTAAGTGCTATATTTTATGGGATAAAAATCTAACATTCTCAACAAAAATATACTTTTTTACAAGTTTATCTCAATAATTTAAAAAAAAAAAGACCTTAAAAGCACGAGGCCCTGAGTTCAATTCCTAGTACAAAAAAAAAAAAAACCACCTTGAACTTTTAACTAGTAAATATTAAGACTGTTACAGAGGACTATTAAATAATTTCTTATACATGTATCATTAAAAGTCCATTCTCAGTATGACCATGCCATAGCAGGTGTCATTCAACAATTTGGACAATGCTGCATTATGGAAGACAAATTTTCTACTGAAAATCAATGGACAAGAAAAATACTACCATTAAAATTTCTAAGATGCTTTTTCTGTTATTTTTTTGTTGTTGTTGTACTAAAAAGGTATTTTCTGTTGACTTTAGCAGAAAATGAGGGAAAAAATGAGTTCCAGTAAAAGATTCCATTTCTAAAGTCAGTGTTTCTTTGGGCTCTTTTTCTGCAAAGCATTAAATTACGAAGATAACATACCTATTCATCTTACCTAGTACAGTAAATGATTGGTAATAAATCAATTTATTGGGGCCAGAGATTTAGCTCAGTGGCATAATCACCTGCCTGGCAAGCACCTGGTCATCAGTTTAATTCCCAGTACCAAACAAAAAAAAATTACGAAGTGCTAAAGACCCTCTTTCATCTATCATGACATTCAGTTTTTCCTTTTTGTTCTGACATACTTAAGACTTGGTCAAATCCAAATTAATATATACTTATGTCTTGTCAATCTAAAACAATAATTAAATGGCTTATAGAGTTCCTTTATACTTTCCCTACATGTTTAAAATATTTTAATTTTTAAAACACAAATTCACTGACTCATCTTTACATTCAACATATTAACAGGTACGGCATTACTCTAACAATACCATATGACTGCAAGTGTTGATTATGACTCCAGTACTTAGATTTGGGGTTTAATGATTATTTTGTGTATAATATTTGTAGAAATACACTGTGTTAGGCGTTTATCTATAGAGATTACTTCACTACTTTGAACATTATAGCAGATTCCTGTGAAACAACAGGGGAAGCAATTTAAACCCACAATATGACTTCACCCATGAAAGCAAAACCTTTTCCTGCCTGATCATTAGAACATGGTCAAAGTGAAGCGCTAAGAGAGCTGGCATTTCAATCTTCATCTCCATGGTTCATGGAATACTCTATTATATTTCTTAGCCATTTCCTCACCTTAATCTCTGTCTTTTACCCTGTTCTCATACTCCATGATATTAAGATCCTGCTGAGATCAGCCATCTTGATTCCTGAGGCCTCTTTGCCAGCTCAGCAACACATCAACCTCACAGTTCCTAGGTACCAACTTCCACTCTTTATCAGGAGTTCCTACTGTGTCACTCGATGGCCTTTGTTCCCAGTCAACCTCCAACATAAATAGTCAGGCTCCCCCTTCTGCTTTCTAAAGCTATTGGTATCATTCCGCTTCAATTCTTTACTATAATTAACCAAGACCATTTCCATATTGCATAAGTTCATGTCCCCTTCCTTCATCCAGTAGCCTGTCTTTTGTGCCAACCTTTAGCCTGAATCTCACTCCCAATTTTGCTTACTGCTCAAAGACCAATAATAAATTTCACCAGTAAAGTCCCAGAAAACACAGGAGCTGGTCTTTCTTGATGCATTTATGTCTAATTTCAAAGGTTCTAGATCACTAAATAGCCTTTCTCTTGTTGCTCTCTTCAATAACCTGCCTCTTGACTGCTTTAAACTTTTTCTGGTCATAGAGAATCATTCATTCCTCACACTATTCTCCACCTCTCTAGTCAGCCAATTTACTGTTTCATATTTTACTATGTTTTCATCAATCCTCTCTTCCTTTCCTCCTCTTCCTCCTTCTCCGAGGACCAGCTTTTCCTCTGGTGAACACAAACTCTCCTTGGTACTATGAACACATTCTCATGTTTCTTTCCTCCTACGCACTACAACAAACTGGTATCTTTTAACACATTGGTTAAATTATAACTTCCGCCAATGGGTTTACTGCTCTTATGAAATATTTGCACAGGATATGAACCATAGCTTCACCCACCCAGAACTCTGTGTCCCCTTAGTTTAAATGTCACTTCCAACTTAATTTCTGTATCTGTAATTATGCTCTCATTTTCATCATTTCCTAATGGCAGTTTGCTCAATATTTCTAATATCAGACAATTAAATTGCTAAACAAAATAAAGGAAATGTACATCTGCTGAACATTTCATTTGAAATAAACAGAATGGTGTGTCTTATTAGTAATATCTAATAATTATACTCCCAAACTCAGCATCTTGTACATGTATCAAATAATAAGGTTTTATACCCTACTTTAGGAGATCTAGTATTTTTTAATAAGCGCAAACGTTTTTAAAAATAGAGAACAGACTTACCAGTCTCCGTCTTTCTTCTTCTACCGTAATAAGTAGTCTTGCAAATTCTTTTAGTGATTGAGCTATTTTTTAAAAAGAAAAAAAAAAGCATTACTCTTCATTCATAGCTAACAATTACAGAACACAGATTTCAATAAAGCTAGTTACTAATTTGTTTATATTATATTCTGTGATTTTATATTTGCATAACCACAAACAACATATAATACGATCCTAATGACTCACAGTGATAGGTAAGAGATGTATATATTGCTGTGTGTTGCAAATTGAAATTCAGCAGATATGGAGTATAACATTTTTTCTTCAAAGATAACATGAAAAATATACTTTATGTATTTAATACAAAAATCACATTAACAAATAAAATATACTACTGGAATTAGTTCTAACAGTGACCTACAAACATGAAATATTTCAAATATGAAACTCGGGGTGTATGTGTGCATGCTCCTGCGTACTGAACCCAGAGCTCTATACCCCCAAGTATGCGCTATACCCCTAAGCTATCTAAAGCCCTGAATAGTAAACATTTTTTAAAAATCCTTAAGAAGGAAACAATCAAGTACTATTTAGATGTACTTAGTAGAAAACAATAGTATAAGGTCTCTCACTGAATTACAGAACTCAAAAGCCTTATATGTTTCAAAACAGATTCTTTATGTTGAAGGGGTTAATTCCCAGATCCTAGATAATTCAGATCTTTACTATTTAATTAACTATTGTCAGAAGAACAGCATCTTGGGGATTCATTAAATAGAAATGCAGACACTCAAGCCCCATCTCCAGAATATCCCTTTTAACATGATCTGTTTTTATACTGAAGTTAGCAAACCCTATGTTAGAAAGCTATGCACCTACATGGTCCACTGTCTAATTTGTGTTAAACAAATTAGAGAAGGCAAAATCACCTAAATTAGGATGGAGAGGAATTAAAAATTTGGAAATACTAGAAGTACAAGTCAAAAATAATAAATTAATGGGGACTTAGAGTAGCATATTCTTTTAAGAATATAGATTTTCAAATGGCAGCTGTGAAAGAGTAATTCATCTACATCACTTTCATACCAAATATATAATATGCATTATTAACTAAAATCAGAGTGTTTGGTTAAAAAATGATAACACAAATCAAGTGAAAACAAAGTTTTTTTTTTCTTCAAGCTTTAAAGCATAGTTCCTATGTTCTTACTAAATGCATTCTCTACTCCTTTACTTATACTCACAATGAAAACACTGTGAGAGACCAAAAGTCTGGTAAATCTGGCATAAAACATACAATAAAGACAGGTTAAGTGAGAAAATGAAGCAAGAGTCTTATCAGCAGAACTTTTTAAGGAAGAGAAGGAATTTTTTTCCATATGAGAATTTAAAATTCCAAGGCTGGGGTACAGCTCAGCTGCAAAGCCCTTGCCTAGCATGGTATAAGGAACTGGGTTTAATGGCTAGCACCATAAAACTATTAATTAATTCTCAACTAGGATTTTTTTTCTCTCTTTAGAACTAGTACACTTTATGCTAACTAAAGTGGTGTGTATGAAATGCTATCTCTATGATTACCTCATACTAGGTCTTATTCAATTACAACAGAAATCAAAGGATTACCTGGGATTCTGATTGATCTGATAAACGTATTAATGGTCTAAGAGTGAGTTTAATTCCTTTTTCAAGTTTAGAAAAACAAACTTTAATTTCTCCAAAAATATTTAAATTAATCCTATATTAATCCTATGATAACAGTGAGTTCAAGAGAAAAATACTTTATAGAGAAGATTTTAACTAGAGTGAGAAATAGCATATCATATGCTTATAATTTCTTTGGATAAAGAAAGCTTCCAGAATAATGCTGGAAAGCCACCTACTATGAATGAGGCTCAGTTGACAAAGTCAGCAGAACTCAGCAAAACTAGGTGATGGGAGGCATTGTTGCAATGCTTATAGAGAAAGGAGCCATGGGATCAGTCAGTTTGGGTTGCCTGTGCTGCACATTGTAGCTACTTCAGACAAGGAGTCAATAAGAAGAGACACATTGGTTACAACTCTTGTAAGAACCACCTGAAGCTGGGGATGGTGGAACATTATGGATAGAACTCTTTAAGGTGAGGCAGGAGGATCATCCTGAGTTTGAGGCCAACCTGGGATGCATAGTGAGTTCAAGGCAAGCCTAATCTACACAGCAGACCTTGTGTCAAACACCAAATAAAAAAAGAAAAAAGGTGCTTCCCAACTTTTTTAACAACGGACAAAAAATTTTCCTGAAATGTTTCACTAGAAGCTTACAGAAGACGTGCTCCGGTATGATATGGGAACAACCAAAAGAAAAGAAGAGACAGAATTTAAGAAATAAGAGATACACTGTGGCACCGAAGCCAGTAGAACTCCCAGGATGACAGAGAGATTCCAGGACAACAGATGTGTAAGGGTCCCGAGGGAATCTTACTAAGACAGGAACAAGAGCTACAGGCTCTCTGAAACACACCTCCAGAGAAGGGAGAAGAAATGCATCTGATGGTAGAGAAAAACAATGATCAAGTTCCTAGTGGTCTTTTTAGACAACTAAAATAAATAAATAGATGGGCTGGCAGGTTGGTAAACTGAGAGTTTTTGTAAGATGTGCAAACTTTTACACAAATAACAGAAAACAACCTGCAAATGCTTTATTTTCCTTCTTAGTAACCTAAAGTTTAGTACAGCATAGATCACACATGATGGAATTTCCTAAAGGATCAAATAAATACCCAGAGCAAGAAGCCCGTCAACAGCTCAATGGAATATGTGAAAATATAACTTGATTTCTGGTTGGCAGGACATGTTTGGATCTCTCACTTGGTTATACCAGAATGAACACTGGACTGTGCAGTCCCAGGCAGCACTGGGCTGGTTCTTGAGGACCACTGGAGTCCACACTTCCCCAGGGAACTTCCTACTTTCCAAAAGCAAATTGTGGAGTGGCTGCAAATCAGGTTTTGGTTCCAAGTGAGGAAACTCAGGTTCTCATTTCACTCTTCTACTCTCCGTCCAAAAACAAACTACACTGTTTTCTACTTTACTTAAATAGTTTTCTGGCCCATTTTGCAAATAAAAGCTATTTATATACTCAGTAAGATAATAGTTGATTATAATAGAAATGTCTCAGAAGAAAAATTTTGACATACAAAAGCAACTGAAAGTCTGGTTCCCCACAATAAAAACTGCTCCCTCTAGCAGTTTTTCAGGACTGGATCTGATTTGATGATAAATTTTGTTCCCTCTTTTTCTTCTCCTTAAAAAAAAAAAAAAACTAAGTTTATTCTTATATTATAACTTCTGTTTCATAAAAATCATAAAATGTGTGTTTGTCATTTATAAAAAAACAAACAGCCAGGAACACTAAAAATATTCATTTGCGGAATTAGTAACAGTGGCCTGCTAACTTCTTGATCCCGTATTTGAAGTTTCCTCTACATATTTTTATGTATAAAGATCTCAAACTACCGCATTAATACGGTATTAATTCATAATTTACCAAAAATAATGTAACAGAAAGAAAAAAAGGAACTAATTATACTATAGATCAGGGATAAGATACCACGTTATCATGTAAGTCAGATTTTAGGAAACAGACCAACAGGAATGTCTGGTCATAACCTTACTTTCCCCGACCTTGAAGTCTAACAGAAAATTCTGAGGGAATTCAGGCAGATTCCAACTATGTAGCATATGCCAGCAGTTCCTAAGAGATGAGAGGCCAGTCTTTCAAAAGGCCCCCAATTGTCTTAAACAACGACAACATCCATGGAAAGTTTATTCTGCACCAGATATGGGTATGAAATACATGAAGTAATTTCTCTAGCACACATGACATGCTATATACAGAATACCTACTGATTTTTCATAAATGCTTAAAGTTATTCTAAGACTTAAGCAAAAATCTGAAAACTTTATTACTTTCAAGTTGTTAATATCCAAGTATAAGTAACTACTTGGATCTTATTTTAGTCATTCATATTAATCTTTATATGACTAATAATCATTTTGCTCTCTAATTGTGGGTGTCTAGACTAACATCTAATTTAACAGCAAGTCCTTTCATTACAGATTTTGACCAACTTACATTTCATGACAAGAGCTTTATATAAGCTATATCTAACAGCTATATACCAACCATAATACTTAATACACAGTGGGTTTTCAGTAGACGCTCATTAAATATACTAACAAGTTTAACAATACATTTCCACAGTCTATTTGCTATACGTGGAGAAGCAACAATTCTTACTTCAAAATTCATGAAACGTTATGAAAAAAAAAAAAAAACAGGCCAGATACTTTGGAAAATTATGTCAGCTATCTAAAATTCCTGCCACCTGCACAAAACTTTCCTGGCTGTACTCATTTATAATAATCTCTCCCCTTCCTGTCCATCTGGAGCATGTCATTATTGGAGTATAACCCAAATAGTTTCACATATAAATTTAAACTTTCCAACAAACTAAAGGGATTAAGAATATTGCTACTACTTTTCTTTTTATCTCATAATATAATATTGGAAAAATGCTTTTGAAACAAAAGAAACCTATTATTTAAGTGTATTTATGACAAGTGCTCTGAGTATAAACACGAAGACAAAAGCTGAACCGCACCCTGGACAGCCATGAAGTATGATGATGGCTTCTATACTTGCCAATAACCTAAACTCTGGAACATTCCTGACCTGTCTAAATATCTATTTCCTAATTTAATCTTTCTAGCAGACTTAAATTCATCCTACTGTTTCTGATGGAAAAGTTTGTTCAGTGTCAAAAAATAAGAATAAGAGAAAATAAAGAAAGGAAATGAATGAGAATAAAAGAATGAAAGAGAATAAAGAAAATTATTCCCAGTTCATTGCTGATATAACTATAATCTCATAAAACTAAAACACTATATGATTACATGTTTCAAATTGATCAGCTTGGATTTTATACATTTTAAAACCCCAGTAAGAACTGCAAAGTGTGCTTCACTCGTATCTAGCTAACATTTATATCATAATCAGAAAATGCTCCTGAATTCTTCTCTCATAAGTTGTTCCTTAACTACAAAC